AAGGAATTTACATGGGAAATGAAATCACCATTCACCAATTTAGGAGAATAGCCATTTCATTCTTGCCTAAAATCATTCCAGTGAACGCAACGCAACCTTAATAAATTCTCGTGGAAATATGTGATCCGTTATAATTGTTACAGTGTGGAATGTTTGTTGGACATTTGTTCTTGAAGAAATAGCTTTGGCGGCACTTAACATTTTCATTTTTCTTTGGTGCCCACTCCCTTAAACTACATCATGGTCAGGGTGTGTGTAGTACAGGATTCAGGTTCAAAGTTTTGTATATATGAACTTTCAGTTAGTGTAGGTTGGCCAAGGTTTATCAGTCATTAAATATCATGTGTAGTTTAATGCATTTCAAAATTTAAGCTTCAGGGGCAAGAACTTTGTTTTGAGAATAACCTCTGTGATCATGCAATTTATTTATTTTTACTGTCGATCACAATTACGAGTTAGGAATCTATTTAAGTATCTATAGCTTGGTGTGCATTGATAGGCCCTTTAGGCTATGCCAACGCATCTGAGCCTGCAAAATGGTCCCATGCCAATCTAAATAATCATGGATTAAACTACTCAAGTTCAGGTGAGCATAACGTTCGCCCAGCCTAGACTTTATGTTTGCCTTTGTAGATTGACATTTATTCACCCCATAAATTCTTCAAAAACTTAGGCATGTTTTGAACTTGGAAAGCATGTGTGAATATGAGAGGTGTTTGAGTTTAAAATGAATGCAATTTAATAATTTAATCCATTGAATTTAAAGTACATAATATTATTAAGATGAATTTAAGAAAATCTCCACCACTTATATAATTAAAAAGGACTAAATAATAGTTAAGTAAAACCTACCTATATAAATCCAAATTATAATGTTGTAAGTTTTAACACCCAAAACGTAATACAAAAATTCTGTTATAAATTAAACTGAACGATCCATAATAATTCTTTATTTTATTTTATTTTATTTTATTGGTCTTTATAGATTTTCCCTCCTCTTCTTGCAGTAGCAAAGTGTGTTTTGAGGAGAGAGAGAGAGAGACAGAATGAGTGTGTTTTAAAATTTGAAATATGAGAAAATGAGAGAGCGAGAAAGGACCGTGGGTGGCTGGGTGGGTGGTGCAGTGTGTTTTACTGTTCGTCACCTCACTCTAATTATAAAATTTATTTGAATATAATTTGACCTCAAAATTTTTTTTTTTTTTTGGTAACAAATTAAATAAATTATATTTTAATCCATAAGCCGAATAATAATTCTTTATATTTTTCAGTATTTTTATCAAAAAAAATGTTACAGATTCCATAAATTATTAAATAAATTACAGATTCCATAAATGTTACACACTCATTTTGATCTTACTATATTTCTGTTTATATTTTAAAGTTTTCTTATGTTTTAGCAGTCAAAATTGGCAGTGTCTGTATGTGCTAAATATGGGTTGTAAGTGGTGGGTTATAGGCCTTAATTCGGCCAAGTAATATTAGTGGGTATGTAGTAAAGTTCTAGAGAACTATTAGTAATAGAAGTTTGAGTTTTTTTATATTTGAAGTCTCAGTCCTAAAAGAAGTAGGGGAAGTATTCATTTAAATCCAGTAGTCTTTTAGAGATTTAAAGGTTTTGTGATATGTGAAGCAATCCAACATTGGAGGTTGAGGCTGAAGGAATTTTAATTAGGATGCTCTTCTTTTTCTCTTCAATCCATATTCCTAATACGAATTTAATTCAAGTTGAAGTAAGTCTGTTTGGGAGGCATTAGATGGTAATGCGATGTTTTCCGTTACATCTCTTGCCTATACTAATATCAGTTGATACATGAATGAAACAAAGCAATGCCTTCCATGGGGGAGCATTACTTTAAGATATGCTTGGGTGGTTATCCTTTATTCAACTGATGCATTTAAATGCAGTTTTTAGAATTAAAGAAGGGATAAGAATATGTAGCTTTGAATACCCAACTTCTCATTTTATGCAATTAATTAGTTCATGATTGCCTCGCATAACTGAATGTTTATCTTTATTTCTTTTCTGTTATGCATTGCTGAAAATCTTATGACCCAAAAAAATCTTCTAGATGGTTGTTTGCATTGACCCGACTTTAATTGGCAAAGTTGTGAGCCTGTGCTATTAATGCACTTTCTCTAACATGATTTTCATTTTTTCTTGGTTTTGAAGGCTTTGCGCACAACTCTTCTGGACCAGGAGAAAATTTTCTTTTTATTGCCAACTTTAATTGTTATTTTTTGTGGATCTTGGTAAAGAACAAGCATGTATTATCCAAAATGCTGATTGTGCACATGCAATGCTATGACTGTAGGCAACAATATAGTTTATAAAGTCCATAGTCACATTGAAATTTCAAAACATTTGTGGGTTATATTCTCTGAATCTATGAAGGGTAAGAGGCTATCAGACTTTTTAAGAAAGTTTTGGGTTGAGTTAGATATGAAGAAAATGTTTTTGCCATCAATAGAATTTAGAAAGTTTTTTAAGAAAGTTTTGGGTTGAGTTAGTTTTCATTTTATTTTAATTTTTTATTTTTGCATAGCCGTATTGTTTGCTTTTTTTTTTTTGGACAAAGGATATTCACTCTCTTCAGTTACATTGTTGGATGGATGTTGTTGTGGTCCGTGCTTTATTGTTTTACCTTTTCTTGTGTTTCTGATATACTAGGTGTAGTGGACTTTATTTTATTTATTTTTCTTTGTTTTTATTGGGTTGAATTTGTATTTTTTTGACCATTAATTTTGTTTTCAAAAAATATTTAATGATCATGATTACTCCATTCAAGGTGGTTTTTTTTTTCTTTTTAATTATTTTTTATTTTTTAAATTTCAGTCCCTTGATCTAATTTCATGGTGTGTGTTCATCTGAGCAAACCAAATGGATAGTTGGACTTATTTTTATTTTTTTTATCAGTTGTTGTTCATAGTATTTCGGTGCACAATGTTAACTCATTAATATTCTTTAATATGGTGTTTGGCTTCTATTAGGAATTAAATTGTTCAATCTATTTTTAGTTTACGATTTTCTTTTAAATTTAATATTATCATCTCTGTTTTTAGCAACGAATTTTATTTTCATTTATTAATCTCCTCATTAGTTGCACCGTGCCTTCAGGCACGAGCATACACTAGCCAATATATAAATTGTAATAATTTAATCCCCAATTTGGGGATTAAATTGAAGCAGTTTTAATATTTGGAACTAAAATGACACAAGACTTATACTTTTGGGTTAATTTTTATTTCCATAACTCTCCTTAGTTTGCACACATAATAATTTTTTCTTAATATAATTTTGTCCTAGAATAAAAATACTATAATATTCTTATTTTCTTTCACCCAAATCTTAATTATAAAACATCACAACCATCTTTCGTCGTTAGCGCTATCTCTCTCTTCCACCATGCTTTCATATCGCCTCTTTGCTCCTCTATCTGTGATCACTTTTCACCATGAATAATATACTTTGACAAGCCCCTTGTTGCGAACCAACCACTTTTGAAGTTGATTGTAGAGGCCTAGGATGGAAGGAAAGTTGAGAGTGGTGGTGGTGACAACGATGAAGGATCGATAGTATTGGCAACAGCAAGGAATGAGAGTAAGTGTGTTGGAATAATTCATCTTGAATTCTTCAATTGGTGGTCTTCAGGACTTTAAAATTTGGCAATGAACTTGTCTATGTAAAACAAAAATTGGGTGCTCCAAGTTGCATTACTTAGTCGCTTTCCTATAGACAATATTTGCATCAACCAAAAGGTGTGCAGGGGGTTACAGCAAATTCACCTTCAGATACAATGAAGCCTGATCTAAAGATCAAGTCTACCGGCGTCTGCACTAACGACAGTAGATCAGAATACTCTTGATATAATCAAGAAAATCAAGACACTAATAATCAAGTCTGCAGAATTTGATTACCAATAAGAAAAGCAGAATCGTGCTTAAGAAATTCTTGATTGAAAACTCTAGATCAAGAGGGAGAGAGAGAGAGAGAGAGAGAGAGAGAATTGCAGGAATTCTTCAAGAATTTGGATGGATTGAAATGGGTGATTTTGTAGCCTATTTATAGGGCTTGATGCATCTCATGTCTCTTAATCGAATCCGATCAAATTTGACCGTTGGATCGACGATCTACGGAGTAGATCATTCTCACACCGAATAGATGTCTTGACTAATCACACCTAATCAGGATCGAGTGCCATCTCATCCGTACGATCGCGTGCATTTCCAATCAACAGCTATGATCAAACCGCTCCAGATCGGACACATAACCGATTGATCAATTGGTTAACTCATCGCCAACAGACGCCACGTCACTGCCACGTGGAGCTGACTGTATTCCACATCACCCATGCCACGTTGGATCCACGTCATCGCTCCAACATATCTTATGCAAATAGGAAAGCGCCATCATGGTGCCTTGCGCCATCATGGTGCCTTGCGCCTTCACGCCACCCATGCCACGTTGGATCCACGTCATCGCTCTAACATGTCCGGGATCCACGTCATCGCTCCAACATATCCGATGCAAATAGGAAAGCGCCATCATGGTGCCTTGCGCCTTCACGCCACCCATGCCACGTTGGGTCCACGTCATCGCTCTAACATGTCCGATGCAAATAAGAAAAGTGTAAAGTGCGTCATCAAACGCCACACATCTTACTGCCCACGCCGCGCTCGTGTGCGGATTATCCTCGCGGTATGAGTGCATGTACACTAGTATCCATCCTATGATATCATATTCAAAGGAATATTTCATATAACACTTTAATAAGTACTTCATATTTTGCTCTCTTTCTAATGTGGGACAAAATCCCCAAACTTATTTCATGCTTTTTAAAAAAAATGAAAGATTTTGAAAAACACTCAAAAACTAAATAATAAATTTGAAAACTCATTTTTAAAAATTCTCCAACAAAGTGGAAGGAAGAAAAATTAGATTTTAAAATCAAAGATGAAAGTATTATTGAAATAAAAGAGAAAAAAAATTGTGAATTGAGATTTTTTGTTCTTTTAATGTACATGGTGACCAACCCATTTGCCTCTCCACCTCCTGATTCCCCTCATCCTCCAACATCTTCGATCCTCTCGTCTCTCGATAGCTGCATATATGACTCAACCGAGTCAAACCCCTCGAATCCTTCTCCTTGTGGTCTCACTTACATCCCTCTGTTTATCACTCTCCTTTTCCACTGCTTCTCCTCAGACCGATCATCGATACAATGTGGGCGATCACGTCCCCTTATTCGTCAACAAAGTGGGTCCTTTGAACAATCCCAGGTACTCGCTGCATACCCATTTCTAATTCCCTCATTTCTTCATCTAGATCTTCATCTTTGACTTTGTTTTTTCATAAATTTCAGTGAATTGTGGGGTTTTTATTTTTTATTTTTTATAAAGATAATGCTTGATTTAGTTTACTTTAATTACTTGGTTGGATGATCATAAAGGAGAACAATTGACCTTGCCATCACATCACACCATCAATTATGAATGTAATTATGTTTATTTTCATTTGCAAACTTGTGGAGATTAGCACCAGATAGTGGAGCTAGGAATGCTGGAATTTGTAATTGGTTTATATGGATTATGTTAGAAATTGTATCCTCAACCCTTCATTGAGTTTCAACTAGAGCATAACTTTGTAGTAGTCCTTTCAGAGTTATTTTGAGAAATCTGGAATTTTCTCAGTTCGGTTTTTTTGGCTCATGAGGCTGTCTGGGGCTAGCTTCCCACATATACCAGGTAATTACTGGGTCAAAGCCTAGGGTAGCCTCAAATGGGAGTTGGGTTAGCTATGTGCTCTTACTTCCCCTTTTGTTGGGGGAATCAAGTTTCCTGTTTCGATGGTTGGTGTGTTAGAACTCTGGGTTAATTTTGTGTTCAGGGCATTTTAGAGATCACAATGCCAATGCTTTTTTTTATTTTTTTCCTGGAGGTAGGGTGGGAAAAAAAAAGGGAAAATGATAGTAGTGAAGATCGTTGCCTTATTTTGTAGGTATGAGGAAGTAGGTGGCAAGGTTGTTAAAATCGGGATCCTACGTAGGATCGTAGAAGGGACTGGTGGATTGGATCGAGAATCGTAAGATTTTACTTTCAATGTAAAATAAAATGAAAAATTATCGATAATGATAATATATGTTACATAATTTTAAAAAAGATTAAAGAAAAATGATAAATTTGATATAATGTATATTTTATGTTTATATCAATTAGAAGAGATGTTTGAAAAAAGTGTTTATAGTCAAATTTTATATATATATATACTCATACATACATTTATATAAGAAATAAATAATAACAAAAAAATTTGTTAGAATTGGGATCGTATGTGATTCTACACGATTTTATGAATAGGATCGTAATAACTTTAAGATCCTAGTGTGATCCAGATCGTTTGCCCAACTGAAGTTGTAGTATCGTAAGATCCTACGATCCGGATTTTGATAACCATGGTAGGTGGTTGGTTTATTTTATTTCTATAAACTAGTGGGAGGTGATTTAGTGGGTATTGGTTGATTTAATACTGTGGAAGGAATGTGATTTGTGTCATGGGGTTAGAGGTTAGTTAGGTTTTCATAATGGCAAATGAGGAGGCAGGCGATTTAGCTAAAGAGAAGTACCTGGTCTGCTTTAATTTGCAGGGAACCTCTTCCGGTGACTTGAAACAATCTGCCAGAACAAAAATCTTTGATAGAAAATCTGCATGGGTAGCCCAGTGCCAACCAGCAGTTAAAGGGATGAACTTTGAGTGTTTTCTGACCTTAACTGATAAATTGGGTTTGTTGGTTTTTAATGTGATAGTTTTGAATGCTAATCATTATTTAGGGTGTTATTATAATTGTAAACAATGTGAGTTTTCTTACATGAATGATAATATTCTTTGCTGTTGGTGCTGTGTCCATTTACATCTGCGAAACCATTGGATACAATAAATATGATATGAACACAAAAGTCATTTGCACTTTTGTGTATGGTATGCAGAAAGATCAATGTTGAGAAATTGTGTAGATATTTGGATTACAATTATTGTAAGGTTGAATCATAAGATAATAGTATTCAAAACGTCATTTTTGTTTAAGATGTAGTGTTTGTTTGTTTGTTTGTTTGTTTGTTTTTTTTTTTTTTTGAGGCATCATTATTTCTCTTTTAATCTTAATGTTGTTTAATTGTCATTCTTTTGCAGTGAAACCTACGAATACTTCGACTTACCATTCTGCCGCCCAGGTTAGCATTTAGGTTTACAATGACAACTTGATTATCCAAAAATTATCAGAAGAAAATATAGAGTTGAGTCTTGTGTCATTCAATGATGTTAGTTGTGTATCAAGTACATAAACATGACACAAGTCTGAAGACGCTATTGATTAGCCATGTCTAGATATTTCACCAATTGAATTCTGATTGTTATCCACTTACCGTAATTTTTATTTTATTTTTTTTAACTACATTCTGTTGAGTTTGTGACTTCCAAAAGTATAGAGAAACTTACAAACTAATTTAATAATTAAAAGTTTTACACTTGGTTTTATATTCATGATTCGCCCTGTGCAACTGGCAATTTCCTTATGCCACTCAATCAGATGGTTTGCATTCACATGTATTCCTTTACGATCAGTGATGTGTGTTGACCTCATCAAGCAATTTGAAGTGGCTGGATTGAAAGTGCCCTTTTATTTTGCAGATTATTTGGTCAAAAAGAAGGAATCACTTGGGGAAGTTTTAAATGGTGATCGTTTAACCAATGCTTTATATGACTTGAAATTCAGGGAGGACAAAACTGGGGAGATTTTGTGCCACAAGGAGCTTAAAGGAGATGAAATTGCTAAGTTCAGGGACGCTATCACTAATGAGTACTACTTTCAGATGTACTTTGATGATCTTCCATTATGGGGTTTCATTGGGAAAGTTGAAGAGGAAAGTTGGGCACTTGATGGAAAGGGCCCCAAGTACTATCTATTCAAACATGTTCAGTTCAATGCATTTTATAATGGCAACGAAGTCATAGAAATACGTGCTTTTAGTGACCCAAATCATGTTGTTGATATAACTGAAGATGTAGAGACCAATGTTAAGTTCACTTATTCTGTCTTCTGGAATGCAACCACCACTCTGTTTGAGAACAGAATGGACAAACACTCAAGGGTACACTGGCAAATTCATTGGTTCTCATTCATTAACTCAATTGTGCTCATTGTGCTACTAATGGGTTTGCTTATAGTGCTTTTTATGCGGCATCTCAAGAATGATTTGAAAAAGTAATGCACTGTAATTATTACCATGGCTTTTGGTTTTACTACTATATTGTTAATATCATTATTCAGGTGCATATACTTCATGTTTGTTCTTTAATTTGTATTGTAGATTTGCTAGTGTAGATGAAGAAGAAGATAATGAGGTTGGTTGGAAATACATTCACAGTGATGTATTCAGATGTCCCTCTCAGATGCTCTTGTTTTGTGCTATTTTGGGCACTGGCACCCAGTTGTTGACCCTGTAAGCTATTCCAAATGATTTTACTTCAACTTATTAGTACTTATTTTGTTACGTTTGGATCTTATATTCATGGATTAAGATTAAAAAAAAAAAATAGGTAACAACAAAGGGCTTTTTAAGAGCAGTGGATTTGAACCCTGCAAGTTACAGTTGTACCATTCATAGAAACCTTAATTCTACCAAGAGCTAGTTAGTATGGGTTTGCATTCATGGAGTGAGCTTTTACCTTTCTCAAATCTTTTGCTCTACATTTTCTTCAGGGTTTCCTTTTTATTTGCTTTGGCATTTCTTGGCATCCTCTATCCCTACAGTCGTGGAGCTTTGTGCACTTCTCTTGTGGTGATTTATGCCCTTACATCAACGGTTTCTGGATACAGTTCTGCTTCGTTTTACAGTCAGTTTTCTGAAACTGGATGGGTACTTTTGTTACATTTCTACTATTGTTCTTAATATATCCTTTCGCATCCTTCAATTTATTGAAACTGGATGGTGACTTTTATAATTCTTCCAGGAAAGAAGTGTTCTTCTATCTGGGGTTCTCTACCTTGGTCCATTGTTTTTTACGGTGTCTATCCTCAACACAATTGCAATATTTTATGGGGCCACGGCAGCGCTTCCATTTGGCACTATTGTAGTGATTTTTCTTGTATTTACAGTTGTCAGCATCCCATTGCTTGCCTTTGGTGGTGTAATTGGGCACCGTTCTAGATCCAGATTTGAAGCGCCTTCTATGACAAAGAAATTCCCGAGGGAGATTCCACCATCAGCTTGGTACAGGAAAACAACTGGTCAAATGTTTCTGGGGGGGCTTTTACCTTTTAGTGCAATTATACTTGAGTTACACAACTTTTATGCAAGCTTATGGGGCTACAAGATCTTCACTGTTTCCAGTATTCTGTTTGTAACGTTCATCATCCTCATCATACTCATTGCAATGTTGAGCGTTGGTTTGACATACATTCAGCTGACTGTAGAAGACCATGAATGGTGGTGGAGGTATGTTCTCCAGCTTAGCACTTACAGCGTGCATATATATTTTTGTTTGTAAATTATATTTCTTGTACTGGCTGACCAAGTTACTTGTCTCTTTGATGCAGATCTGTTTTGCGTGGGGGCTCCACTGCCCTATTCATGTTTGGCTATTGCTTCTGCTTCTATGCCAAATCAAACATGAGGGGTTTTTTGCAGCTGTCCTTCTTTTTTGGGTACAATGCTTGCATCTGCTATGCATTTTTCCTGATGCTCGCTACAATCAGTTTTCGTGCTTCCTTGGTGTTTGTTCGCCACATTTATCGTGCTGTTAAGAATGAATGAATGAACTTGCGTGATATCTTTTTCTCTATGTTTCTTCCAACACAAAATGGTCACAAAGTGTAATCAGCTAACTTCCTAACATCTCGTAATTACCCTATTCTAGAGAAAGAGCGATGGCATGATCAACAGAAATTATAGCGTCTAATTGTTTTTCATTCCTGGACTTAGCTAATCTCTTTGACATTTTGAAGAGAGAAAACCATATGGATTTTTACAGATTTTGTTAAGAAACTGGATTCTGGACACCAAAGGCGGACCTGGCGATACCTACTTCTGATGGCCAGATGGAGGTTGGATAATAGTACATAACCCATTGGTGGTATTTTGTGTTTTTTGTTTGTTGTTTTCGTTTTTGTTATTTTTGTTTTTCTGTTGATCTTGTGCAACCCTAGCTTGATGGGAACATCAATACTATAGATTAAGAATCAACCATCCAAAAACTGTACAATAAGCTGGTAAAAGAAGTGGTTTTGTCAACCATTGCTGATGTTGATGCTATTTCCATTTTCTTTTTCATATTATCATACAATCCATCTCTGATTTAATTATCATATTCCAGTGTCAAAAAAGAAATAAGCAATTTTGCTACATGGTTTGAAAGCTACAATATGCAGGTTAATGGCACACCACCAACTCGTGGTCTTGGCTTGTATGCGAATAGGCCATTTGAATCTCTGCTAGGTGGGTTTGCCACAAATCAATGGTTCTATTTTGTGATGGACCCATGGACTGATTGGGTGCTTATTAAGTGATTGGGTGAGTAGATGCAACAAGCTTGCGGATAAGATTAACCCGTTGTTTGGTGCAGTTTATATAATTGCTCATAGTTTTTGTTTTTGTTTTTGTCTTTTTTTTTTTTTGAAACATTGTGCTAGTCTAGTTAGTATGATTTCTGCCAAGTTTTTTTTTTTTTTAAAAAAAATGATTATCTAAAAATTAAGAAAATATGTTTTTAATTTCTACTTTCAGCTTTAACCTCTACCAAACATATCATAATTAAGTAGGACTTTAATGCAAGTAGGACTGCAAGTGGACCGACTTTCAGCTTTAACCTCTACCAAACATATCATAATTAAGTAGGACTTTAATGCAAGTAGGACTGCAAGTGGACCGAGTTGTTCACAAACAGATTTGGCTCGGCTCTTTAGCAAATGAGCTAAGCTTGAGCTCGAATATTAGGTTCGTTTAGTAAATAAGTCGAGTTCGAGCTCGAATAAGTTCGGCTCGTTTATTTTTATTTAAATAATATTAAAAAAATCTTATCGAGACGAATTCGAGCTTAATAAACGAGCTCAATAAACAAACGAACCGAGCTCGAGCTTGCAAAGCTCGGCTCAATTCGACTCAACTCGTTTACAGCCCTAAATGCAGATGTGGTGTGTGAAAATTTACCAGCAAAGGTAGAGGACTAAAACCTCAACCAAAGAATGTTGCTGATTTTGACAATCTCTTAAATAAATAAATAAATGTATGGAGCAGCAAAATTATGTTACATGGGGTTATTGGTTAAAATTGATTCAAAATAGTGATATTTTTAATTGACATTTTGAAGCTCTCAATTTGAAAGTTTTAGTCTAGTTTGAAATTAGATACCCAAAGTGTTTAATTTGCCTTTATTTTGGTATTTTTTAGCTGTAAATTATAAATTTCACTAAGCCTGTTTTGGGAACCTAAAAAGTTATTTTTTGACTTTTAATTTATTTTGAGTCACATTATCTCTTTATTTTTTTATACATTTTTTTTAAGGAAAAAAAAAAGTCAAAAAATTAACTTTTAACCTATTTCTCAATATAACTCAACTTTAAGACTGAAATTTTATCATTCAATGTCTGTGAAATTTTACTATTTTCAAACAACGAAAATAGTGATATTCTACTGTTCAAAAAGAGCAAAAACAGTAAAATTGTGTCATTTTTTAAATTTATAATCTTGTATTTATCATAATAAAAAAGATAAATTAAGATTTTTTTTCAAAAAAAAAAATGTAGAACTAGATAAATTGAATTTAAAAAAATTTCAAATAATGCATAAATTGAAAAAATGCAATAAGTAGAACTGCTACGTTGGGGTGAGTGTATTTTAGAAAGAAATTAGCTCTCAAATATTAAAGGAAATAGAGTTAAAAACACCTGTATGAGAAAAAAGCTCACCTCAAAATTTTTTTAAAAAAAAAGAAAAGAAGAGAAAATAGACATTAGATAGAAAATGAGATTCCAGCCACCAATCACCATTCAGCATGGTACTGATAAGGCAAACCCCAGTCCAAACATTTGTGCATTTTGTAGCTTACCTGTCCCTTCCTCCATTTCAACAACAAGACAAAAATAAATAAATAAATAAATAAAGAGTGAGAGTTGAAAAAAAAATTATCAGTAAGGGTGAAAGAATAATCGGAAGGACTGACCAAATCGATCGAATCGATCGAACTGAACGATTTTCGGTCGGTATTTTAAGTTTTCAATCGTTCGGTTCTATTCGGTTTATGTTTTTCTGTACATTCAGTTCGGTTTACGATTTTTGAGTTTTTGAACCGAACCGCACCGAACTGAACCGACTTATATAATATTAATAGGCCCAAAATGTGAGGCCCCAAACCTATATAGGAATTACATGGCCTGAGCCCAAATTTTATGCAAAATGAATAGAAATATAGGCCCAAAATGTGAAGTCCAACTAGGGAAAAAAAAAAGACCAAAAAATCGAAAAACTGAAAAAACTGCACCGTGCCGTAATAAACCGAACCGTGCCGGTTTATATCATTTTTCTGAATAGTTCAATTTACAAATATGAAAAACTAAAATGACCGATTCAATACAAAACTAGTGAAAAAACCGACCACACCAAACCGATTTCACCCCGAATCAGTATACAGACAAGTGTAAATAACATATACCTCCACAACCTTTCATTATACTTCATCACACCTTTACACACGTTATAAAAAAATAAAAAAAAAATTCCAACTCCGCTTGTTGTCAAAAAGATAGTGACTTTATTTGTCAGAGTCCATGCCACCCACCGTACCGTACTCTTAAAACCCTTCTTGATCCTCTTCTCAGACTCCTCACTCACTTTCTTCCTCGTTTTACTGATTTGGAGATGCTTGGTGGGTCTCTCGTACTCTCCCCTCTATTATTCGGTTCCACAGGTACTCTTATGCTAAGCGTTTTAAGACCCAGACGAGATTTTCTCTACTTTACTCGCAATTGAAGCTTTGTTTGGCAATTTGGGGACATTTTGTTTCTGGGTTTTATGTCATTTCTCTCAAATTTGTTCCATTTTTGAAGTTTTAACTAGTGATTTGAGGTCATTCTAGTCTGGGGTTTTTGTGTATCCCTAGTGCGTGTAGTGTATTTAATTATTCCCTCTCTCTCGCTGGCCATTTTCTTGTTTCTATCTTGCACTTTTCGTCTGTGTTTGTTTCATTTTTACTTATTCGTAGAATTTGTTATATGGGTTCTGATTTTGTTCTTGGTTTTTAAGGAGGTTATATTACGTGTGATACTCCGTGGACAACCCTTTTGGATTAAATAAATTATGTATGTTCTTCTTTGAAGTTGTTTGTTGACTTCTTTAGAAAGTGTTTCTGACTTCTTTCAACAGTTTGGTATGGAATGGTTGGTGAATTGAACTTCAGACATTTGGGCATTCTGGTTTTCTAACCTTTTGATATCCATCACTGAATTGTAATTACAAGAATTGGGTTTTTCCGCTGTTGATAATGGCGACTTACATACGTTGTCCTTTTCTGCCTTCTGATACACGAAATCCAGTTGCAATGTTGGGCATTCCTAGGAGAGTAATGAAGGCTAGAGATACTTGCCCAAATACGAGTTTCCCTCAATTTAAATGTTCGATGAACTCTCAGAGAGTTAGCCCAAATCAGAGCAAAGACCCTTTTCTGAATCTACACCCTGAAGTTTCGATGCTCAGGAGTGAGGGAAGCGACACAGCTACTAGTTTAAGGAAGGAGAGCTTCAGTGGAAGTAGCACTGAGAGCTTGAGAGAATCCTCTATTCTAAGTAACTACAACGAAGCCAAGATCAAAGTTGTTGGCATTGGAGGTGGTGGCTCGAATGCTGTCAATAGAATGATTCAGAGTTCTATGCAGGGTGTGGAGTTTTGGATTGTCAACACTGATGTTCAAGCCATGAGGATGTCGCCTGTGTCTGCTGCAAGTCAACTACAAATTGGACTGGAACTAACCAGGGGTCTTGGTGCTGGTGGGAACCCTGAAATTGGCATGAATGCTGCAAACGAAAGCAAAGCAGCAATAGAGGAGGCAGTTTCTGGTGCTGACATGGTCTTCGTAACAGTAGGTTCATAGCCTCTTTGCTCCCGTTATTAATTGACCTTGGCGATTGTGGAACTTATGTCTCACATTGTAAAACTTCATGCTGTCACTTGATTTTTTATCGATGATAAACTTACTTCATTGATTAGATGTTTGGTGGAAAGTTGTGAGGCACAGTTAGTTGCATAATTAATGATGCATAAATGTGCAAACAACCAAAAGTATAAATGTGGGGATTTTTATGCTTATAGTGCTTCCAACTTTGTATTAAGTGTCAATCAATTTGAATGAGGAATGGAATTATGGTGGTCTATTCCATGTAATTGTAGGATTGGAGCATGTGGCAAAGTCCATTGGAAGGTTCAAAGCCTCCTTACCTATAGCTTGCTCAAAAATCTGGAGCCAAAGTATTTAATCTAAATGTTTTTCAAAATCTGTTCACCAAATGAATTTCGTCCTTCATGAACTTGAGGTTTGGTTGTTAGGTTGTGTTTATGAAGGGAATTGTCAAGCCTTGACGTTGACACATTGCCTTTCTAATAATACCATGTCACAGACACCGATGCCCTGAAGTAAGGCATCAAGATTTTCTGCATGCATATATTTATACTGTTGTGAACACCAAATTGAAGTTGTGTAATGCTTTTTCTAATTCAAAATTATCCAACAAAAATAACTTTTTTACTATTTGAAGAATTTTTGTTTTTTTGTATTTAATGGTAAAAATTATAAATTCAACCATTCAAAATCATCAATTTATGTAACTGCTGCAGTTATATTACACACACAATATGTGTGGTACAACTTCTAGTGTCTATATATGTCAATTAAAAAAAAAAATTAATTTATGCTTGGGCTTCTCCATATCGTTCGTGCTTCTTGTCAATTGCGTAGTTTATTCAATTTTGTTAAAATTTGTCATTGATAACATAAATTAATGTATCAAGAGTAGTTGAACTCATGTGTGTAAGTTAATAAAAAATAAAAACAAAAAAATGATGCTTGGACTTTTTGTTGTGTGGTTTATATTTATTCAGTTTTGCTATATTTTCTCACTAATAACTTAAAAACTTTAGGCTGGAATGGGCGGGGGAACTGGCACTGGTGGGGCTCCAGTAATTGCAGGAATTGCGAAGTCAATGGGTATTTTAACTGTTGGCATTGTCACAACTCCATTCTCTTTTGAGGGACGAAGGCGTGCTGTTCAAGCTCAGGAAGGAATCGCAGCTTTGAGAGACAATGTTGACACACTGATTGTTATTCCAAATGACAAGTTGTTGACTGCTGTTTCACAATCTACTCCAGTAACTGAAGCATTTAATTTGGCTGATGATATACTTCGACAAGGGGTTCGTGGTATCTCTGATATAATAACGGTACAAAATGCATAAACTATTTTTTTGTTGATAAATTTGAAAAGTAGAGGTTTTTAGTATTTTGATTTTACAATATTATCCATTTTAGGTGAGTGTGAATGCTCTTATTAAACTAAAATAGAGGGATAGTTTTGGTTTTTCAGACTATATTAGTTGGGTGTGAATGTGTTCGATGCATGCACCCTTAAAATTTTAAAATTTTTCAGAGTGGACAAAAAATTTAAGGACAGCAATTATGAATTTTCATATGCCCTCTTGGATGAATATTCCTTCGTGTTGAGTGGGATTTGGGAATATATCCCGCTCAAAATTGTCTCTGTTGTACGTGAACCTATTATGATTAATTGAATACCAATCCAAGAGGCTATTCTGCAGTGTAATGATGTGTAATCTGGTTGACTATTCCATTGCATTTGCATGTGCAAGCAAATGACTTAACCTCAAGAATGTCAGTTGACTAGACTGCAAAATGTTAACTAATTATTCTGTCTATTATTTTACAGAATACCAAAAAAAAAAAAAAAAAAAAAATAATTAATTATTCTTTATATTTTTTTACGGAAAACCAAAAAAAAAAAAAAAAAAAAAAAGAAAGAAAGAAAAAAGACTAGTGGAGCTATAAATAATTTTTCAAAGATAAAAAACAATTATGTGTTTTTTACTGACTTAAACTTAATGAAACAAGAGATTATCAAATTAAAACATGAAGAACAAGTATTACTCATTTTGACACCCTCAATAAACATAGATCAAAACTGGTTGGTGTCCTTCATCTTAAAAAAAATGGAAGGAAAAAAGTATTGCTTAGGTGGCTAGAATTACATAATTATGCTTTCCTAGGATGCTGTTATGTATAATGTGTATTTATTAGCTATTATCATTCAACGAGGTCCTCTCTCTCTCTCTTTCCACTTTGAAGGATTGTCTCGGGTTCACATATTTTTCAAATGTTGGGGTTTTCTTGTCAAAGGTTTCCCATTTGTCAGCTTCTACATTTTAAAAATGTTCTATTTTGCTAATTGGTGGTAGGTTACTTCAACTGCAGGTCCCAGGTTTGGTTAATGTTGACTTTGCAGACGTGCGAGCTATCATGGAAAATGCAGGGTCATCTCTAATGGGAATAGGAACTGCAACTGGTAAATTAAGTGGATCTTTATTTGCTGACTTTTTTCTATTTACCAAATGCTTTATAGATCTCAAGAAAGGAGCAAAGGAGGTTTAAGAAAAGAATAGCTAATACGGGCTAATATGGGAGGGAGGATTGAGTTCTTACTTGCATGATATTTTCGGAATTGTTGGTTTTCTATTTTTTTTTTTTCTGCTCTTAACTTTATTTTTCTGTTTAATGTCTGAAATTTCTGGTTTTTTCTCATAGCCTGATCAAATTAGGAAGATGAGGAAAGTAGACCAATTTTTTTGGGTACAAGAAAAAAGTTGACCAATGTTAGTACACTTTAAAAAGCGTGTCATAAAGTAATGCAACATGCTCATGCAGATATACTATACTTAATAACAGAGCAATAGCAGAGTCTCTTATGCCATTCTTTAACCCTAACACTCTTGGACACTCAACCTTACCCATTACAACACAACCCCAAGCACTTGACAATGGACTTAAGTTTCGTCATATAGAAATTGCCTCACTACCTAAATCCTACAACACAAAGATATGTAAAACATGACTTTCAATAATACTTATTGACGACTAGCATCCCATGTTCAATAAATGAAAAATTACCAAAATATGCGCAACTCTAAAACCTAGAAAGCATAAATAAAATTATAGCAGTTGCAATTAAGAAGCACAAACACTTATGAGAAGTTCCATGCCCATGGATTTTTATCTATTATTCCCTTGCCGTTTAGAATTTTGACAACTTGCAACTCTGTATCCACTACTTGCCAAATGAGATTACCATTATTTACGGTTGAAGTATGAAACCCTAATTACTTGCGTGACCTTTTTTTTGACATGCACGCCTATATTGATAAATTGTTGGTTTCTTATTCCTTTGCAGGCAAGACCAGGGCAAGAGATGCTGCATTGAATGCCATTCAATCACCTTTATTAGATATTGGTATAGAAAGAGCTACTGGGATAGTCTGGAACATAACTGGAGGAAGCGATCTCACTCTATATGAGGTAGACTTTTATTCATTATTTCAACTTACTAGGAATTCATGCACATTAATATGGGCCCATAAGTGAGGCTGTCAAACTTTTGTATGTTGTCACATGGATCCCAAGAATCATATGCTTGAGACCAACAGGAGATGCAAAATGGTATAGCCGGAGGCTGGCAGAGCCTAGCTTGTGGGAAAACATACACAAGAGAAAGGAAAAGCAGGGAGATCTTGTGTCAATTGCATTGTCAATGGTCATAACAAATTTAGATAATTATCCTTAAATGACGAGGATTGGGAATGGCACAAGTTGAATTATCTCTTCCTCTCTCGGTGATTAATTGGCCCATTAACTCATTGCTATGTTCCATATAGCTTCTTGATCTCCATAGTGGCGTACCTGAGTTAATACAAGAGTGTAGTTCATGCTATGATTTAGTTTGCAAATAGTTTATTTAATATTGTTTTTGTATATCTTTTTAAAGGGAATTATTAGTTTCTTGTACCGACTATAATATGCTTGTATTGTGTTCATGCTAACTTCGGGCACATTATAACACACTTTAATTTCTTTAATTTATATCTTTTACTATAGCATCTTATTTGTATTTCACATTTTGCCAGGTAAATGCTGCAGCGGAGGTTATATATGACCTTGTAGATCCAAATGCAAACTTAATATTTGGAGCAGTGATAGATCAATCACTAAGCGGCCAAGTAAGTTACGGAGACCCTTGTCTGTGCTGATTGTATGTCATGCCAGATGAGTACTACCATACACTTAAAATTATGTATTGCTATGTGGCATGGAGACTTTTTAGGGTGACCTTTGTCTGCACTGGGTAACCATCTAGAACACAAAACTCCTCATAAATCCTAGACGCAAGTGTTGTTATAATGTTTGTAAAGAAAAAAAAAACTTTTGATTTTCCATGCGTTTGTCACAGGTCAAGCATACAGTATACATTGTTTTCAATTGAAAACAACTATAACTGCGTTAGGACATATGATATAGAGCATATGACTACTACTATGCATTAAAGAACAGAGCTCAATTTTTGAAAAGGCAGATTGGGCCTTAACAGTTTTTTTTTTTTTTTTTTTTTTTTTTTAATTATAATTTATATACAACTTCAGACAAACCAACATATATTTTGTCCCACAATTTTGTAAACATTTTTATTTTGATGGGTCACTATACAAGCACATATACTTGACTGGTGCTTAAATACCATTTTGTGATGTTTTGCTGAATAAATTTCTTTTTATGTTGGTGAAAGAATGATCCTTAACCCCTTTACTCTCATATTTTTCATCCTTCTACCTATATTTTCTTAAATACTATTTTTTGATGTTTTACTCTCATATTTTCATCCTTGCTGAATAAATTTCTTTTTAAGTCATTTATTGGAAACAGTTTCTACATATTTATAAATGAAATTTAAAAAAATTTAAAAAATGAAGTTTAATTAGAAATAAATAAAAAAATGCATTGGTATTAATTCTTAATGTGAAGATGGCCCACAGAAGTCCAGAAAAGTACTTAAAAGCTACAGAAGGAATTTTGAAATTGCTGAAAATTCATATAAACTAGTTGATATATTCAGATTGTTAGGAATTTGAATTAAGAAGCCGATGTGCAGATCTGGTGGTGACGAAACATATACATATACTACAGTTTAAAAATATAAGATGAACTTCGCTTTGCAATGCATTACGTAATTTAGGTACGATAAAAGAGATTCCATTTAACTAACAACAATATAAGACATTTGGGGTTTGGCAGCGATAACTGGATAATCAACATGATTTGAATTCAGGTCAGCATAACTCTGATTGCCACTGGATTCAAACGTCAAGAGGAATCTGAAGGAAGGGTAATCTCTCTCTCTCTCTCTCTCCATTTCTTTACGGCCTGTTTAGTTTTAGTACATAGGTGCATCACCTTGAATGAGCCATCTAAAAAACTCGATGGATTCATGTGGTCATTTATAGGATTTTTTTGGGAAGACAACATTCAAGATTTTAAATGTCATTTTTAGATGAGTACAATTTTTCGAAATGTGACCATTCAAGATGATGAATATTTACATTGATACGCTATGTGAAGAACAAATGGCCTCAAATTCAAAGGGACATTAAACAGGATTGAGTCTGATTTCCTCAATCTGGAACATGGAGGGACTCTCTTTTAATTTATTATTCTCTCGATCTGAGAATTGCAGGACATCAACCTGGGAATCAATAGACGTCAATCTTTCACTGACGGCGGCTCAGTGGAGATCCCTGAATTCCTAAGGAAGAAAGGTCGTTCTCGCTATCCTCAAGCTTGACATTTCTCCCACCAAGCTCTAGTTCCATCTTGGAGATTAAGATTCCGCCTTGTTAAAGATGCAGTCTTTTCAGGTTTTTTAGTTTGTTTGTTGCGAAACTGCGAGTTTTCATAGTAAATAAATGTAGTCCTTTCTTTATCCGTTTGGTTTTAGAGGGAAACAATTCCTGCTTGAGAGATATCAAAGTGCACTAAAGTGCTTGATTGCAATATTTTCATGGTTGTTGCCTGACAATGTATATATAGTTTTGTTTTAATTTGCTACTAGTGCACTACAAGAATGCTACTTGGGCACAAATTTATGAATAAGTCCAGAAATCAGTTACAAAACCGGATAGATGGACAAGGATTTTTTTGTTTTTTATTGTGTGCGCGGTTTCTTCTTGTAGCAAAACTGTACATTTATTTTACTTCATTAGCCAAGGGGTAACTTGAGCTTTGGTGTCTAAAATGGTTAGTTTCCAAATCAAGTTTGATTGTTTGAGCTCAACCATTTTACTTAGAAACTCTACATGAGCTAAAGTTCATCTCTCCAGAATTGGTCCAATCAAAGGAAAATTATTTAGTAGTCCAGAGTATTATACACCAATGAAGCCGTGTGAAAAGGAGGGATAAACCAATATTTATCTCTAATCAGCCAGTAACAGTAGATTAGATCGGCTCTACCCGTTACAAAATGACAAATTTTCAGTCTAGTTTTTTTTTTTGTATGTTATTTTAAATAGTCGCTTTATGAACTTTGTTAATTTGCATTTCATTCTCCTCGTATCTAAAGTTGATTCTATTCATTTTCATTTTCCATAGGAGTATAGCGACACTGAAAAAATTAAAAATTAAAAAATTGATATTTTCAATTGGAGTGTAAACATGGACAAATGAGTACAGTTACTAGGCCTCGTTTGGGAACAGGCTAATTTAGTAACTTTTTAGCTATTTGGTTAAAAAGGTAGGTAAAAAAAACTTGTATGTTTGGGATGACTTTTTGACTAATTACGAAAAGATGTGCAAAAAGTAGAGAAAAAAGAGAATCTTTAACTTTTTGGTATGAGTTGTTGGCTTTTTTACTAATTTAACTTTTTGGCTAATTGGCTAAAAAAATAAGTTTCCAAACGGGGCCTAAATTGTCAAATTTTAATAGTAAAGCTTAATAAAAATAGATTTAACAAAATTTATTATTGTATAATAATCAAGCATTTAATCACCCTATTCTTTGACCAATCTAATTTCATTGAACACTCTTAAATCAGACAAAATGTAATATTTTAATAGGAGGATGCACCAATAAATCCCAAATTAATAACTTATACACTGTTTAGTCTTAAAAGTTTTCTTATAGACTGAAAGGTCCCATTACAATGTTTCAAACATCAGATTAATGTTTCGAACATTAGATTTTGAACATCAGATTAATGTTTTGAACATTAGATTTCGAACATCAGATTAATGTTTCAAACATTTGATTGATGTGCAAATGGGACTAAATGGAGCATAAGAAAACTTTTAGGACTAAATGGTTTAACTTTTCAAAAACTAGGACTTATGAGTAAATTTTTCATTTTAATATTCTTATGTGGGTGAAGCATTAATAACTCTCACATAGTGATCTTGTCAACTGTTTAGTCATTTTTTTCTCTCTTTTTTTTTTTTTTGTTTTTTTCTTCTTCTTATGAATTCAAAAGTCTCATTCTAATATAAATAAACACGCATGTGTGTTGCGCGTTTGAAGGCAAATGTGGATTTTCAAGTAATATTGAAATTACTAATGTGGTTTTTGCCATAATGTTGCAAATCTATACTATAGACTTTTGAGCTCTTTCCATCTTCACAAACGAATCCCACACTTTAGACATGGAAAGATTCTAAAACCACTGTGACATTGTTCGATTTACTGGTGGAAACAGTGTAGCCATAAATGGGATTTCCAATTTATTGCCAATTTCACATTCAAAATAGGGATGCAAAAACCCTACACCATCCAAATCCTACATTATCAACCCAAATTGGTACATTGGTGCTGTTTGGTGTAGCTGTTAAAACAGTTTTTTTTACTTTTTAGACATACCTAACATAAATACACCTAAAAAGTAAAAAAATTGTAAAAAAAATCTTTTAAAAATTCATTAAATACCAAAAATACAAAAAAAATATAAGAATTCAGTACATTTTTTGTATTTCTATGTATTTATTAATTTTTTAAAATATTTTTTCACAATTTTTTTTGTTTTTTAGATACATCTAACTAAGGTGCATCAAAAAAGTAAAAAAAATATTTAAAATTTAAAAAATATTCACTAAAAACAAAAGAATACGAAAATCAAAAAACTCAATTTTTAAAAAACTTAATTCAGAAAACTCAAACCAAACACACTGAATAACTCTCAAATAGTGATATTGTCAACTGTTTAGTCTTTTTTCTTTTTTCTTATAGATTCAAAAGTCTCATTCTAATGTAAATAAACACACGTGTGTGTTGCGCGTTTGGAGGCAAATATGAATTTTCAAATAATGTTGAAATTATTAATGTGAGTTTTGCCATAATGTTGCAAATCTATACTATAGACTTTAGAGCTCTTTCCATCTTCACAAACGAATCCCACAATTTAGACATGGAAAGATTCTAAAACCACTGTGACATTGTTCGATTTACTGGTGGAAACAGTGTAGCCATAAATGGGATTTCCGATTTATTGCCAATTTTACATTCAAAATAGGGATGCAAAAACCCTACACCATCCAAATCCTACATTATCAACCCAAATTGGTACATTGTCTTGAACATCACACAGCATATGTTCAACCGTTGACGGAAACGTGAGTTTTGTCCCCCATATATGCCGATTTAGTGGACAACGTTTGGGGATACAAACCCGACATTGGCGAAACATGGGGTTGGGGTAGTCGTGGAATTCGAACATTGGCCTGTCGGGTTTAGTGTTGAAGCTTGATGACTGTTAATGTAAATGTAAATTTACCATCACCTACCACACACTTACCATCACCTACCACACACTCACCTACTACACTCACCTACCACCACCTACTCCCTACACCTACATCTATATAAGGAATCAATAGAACAATCTTGTAACATACAATCAATACATCAATAAATAATACAATTCTCTATTTCTTTTTATACATTGTATTTCGGCACGCCAGGCCTACATTCACTTCGTAAGGAACCTCCTTGAGAATTTTTTTACTATCAAAATGAATCAATACACCGCGAAAGTTTCACCAAGCTTGTGAATTTTACACAGGTCTTACTCTTATCTGTTGAACCTCACTTAATAATAAATGCCTCAACCTTACAAAATTCTCTTACAAAATAATGAATAAAAATAAGAAGTACTTCAACTGTCTTTTACAATAATTTTCTCACAAAGAATAGATATGAAATTGTATGAACAAAGACAATACTTAGATCTAAAAGTGAAAGAGCAGAGTGAAAATCACAATTTTGGAGCACATAGAATTTTTTTATTTATTTTAAGTTCTTGATTTTTCTCCACACAAAACGCTTCTATTTATATACAAAACACTACCTATTTGGAGAGGAGACGCTCCTCAACAAAATAGACGCTTCATCATCAACGCTCCTATAAACAATTTGTGGAAAAGCAGCCCAGCACATTTTTTTCTTTGTCAAACTTTTACAGTCAAGTTGATAGTCAAGTTGATTCAAGGACCTACCAAGGTTTTGAATATAAAACTCAATCAATCTCATTCAATCAAAACTTTTGAATATAATATTATATATATATATATATATAAGATGCAATCCCCAGCTTATTAACTTTATATTATATTATATTATATATTTATGTAATATATTGATGTAAAATAATTGCACATAATACTCATTATGTGGGTATGTCCTACATACAAAAAAATGTAAAATAAGTTTGAATTCGATGCAATAAGTATCAAAAAGATATAATACAATTTTATTCAAAAGAAGACAATCATATCAAATTTGTCAAAAGATGAATAGTGATCAACCGAATTTTTCAAAATGTAAATAGTAAAATTTTCAAAATATTTTTATTTAAATAATATTTATAACAAATATATCATACAATATATATTTTAAACAGAGAATATTTGTGTCAAATAATATAAAATATGTATATTAAGAAAATCATAATTTATCACATAATATTTTAAATATCATCAAAATTAAACTACATGATTAACAATTTTTCTCTTTTTGATGATGGCAATACAAGCATGAATTTGACACAAAATTTCACATGAATAAATGCATCATGAAAATATTCAACCATCATAATACAAGCACTTATTTTTATTATATTTGATCCCCTATTATTAACAAAATCTTTGTCAAATAATCAAATTTCTTCTCCCCTTGACATTATCAAAATAAAATATTAATATATTAAGTTTTTATAGAGACGAAAATTTTCAATACCCAAAACAAAAAGTATACAAACACATTTGAAAAAATAATCTGATTTGTCAAAAATATGATAAGTTTTCTTTTTTCTTCTCGTGATCATTTTTGAGATTTTGTATCATCTCCAGAAAAATGGTGCAGCGGCACTCAAAATGTTGACAAACAAGAGATTTGAGCAGATATGCATCGATTATTGGATCGGTGAAGTGTATAAAAAGTGACATAAATGATATGTAAAGATACGAAATCTTCAAGTGTTGTTAGAATTTTTTTTTTTTTTTTTTTTTTTTACTTTCTGGGTAATTATGTCATTCCTTACTTTAGCTATCAATGGTTCTGACATGAATGAGGTGCCTGAAATTCAAGCAAATGAGAGGTTACCTATAGTGCATTCACACGCTATTCCAGTAGAGTCCTAATGTTTTCGGTAATCGTAGTGATATCAATGCTATTAATAACACTATGACTTTTAGTACATAGACTGTAGTTTCTAATATGGCTTGACGACTACAAGTAAGAATACAAGAGAATCGGCAATTGAAAGTCGATGTGAGCTATTTAAAATAACAATTGGCTAAGACTTGTCAGGAGAAGAGAGATCTAGATAGGAAAATTTTTCAGTTGGAGAATGCAATGCGATATTATGCAACCATTATAATGTCAAGACTCACAGAAGTCGAAAATAGAGAGAGACATGTAAGAGAGACTTATGAAAAGCTATTGAGAGAAGTTAAACATACAAAATCTGTGAAATCTTCTCAAAACTTACATGTAATCTAGCAATATTTTCTCCTTCTGAAATAAAATTGTAAGCATTTCTCTTTTTTAAAAAAAAAATATGTCTTTGCTATAAAAAGAATTTTTGGTGCAGATAAGGAGTAAAAAAAATTAGTTGATAACAATATATACTTCCCTTGAAATTATGTATAGTGAGAGGGTAATTTT